GTTTTCCCCGAGGAAACACCTCGGGATTTTCAGGTGTAGAAGCAGCTGAGGACTTCAATAGTGTTGGACTGCGAAGCTGCCCAAACATTTGGCGCTGTCTGTGGGAACTTGAACAAAAAGTTGTGTAGCTTCATCTGCTGAAAGACAAAATGGTTCGGACTTTTACAGGAGGTCGCCCCCCAAGAACTGAAGTAGACGAACAGGAGGACACTCAATTATCTGAGCCCGATTTGAATGACTTTAGGCCAATGCCGAGAGACCTCTTCGTTGGGGGAGCTGAACAGGATCACCTTAGTGAAACAGATGACGAAAGAACACCAACGGGGTATGCAACCTAGCCTGAACAGTTCCAAGTTCCAGCGGGAACAAGACAAAGACCTTCTAGACCACACAATTCACAACCTGAACGACCTGAAAGTTCTACAGAACTTGCTCGGACAGCCGAGCTCGAAGAGAGAACCAGAGTTCTCGAAATGGCAATGGGTAAAATCCTTGCCCGTCTGATTCCTGATGACCCCCTGATTCCTTTGTTGAACAGGGATGCACAACCAGCTGCGGTTGTTGCAACTAGAAATTCCCCCGCTTTAAGCAACGTAGTGGTGCCGACCAGGCCAAGAGGAAGTGGGAAGCTGAATATCGAGCCCAGCTCGTCTAAACCTAGTGAAGAGCTGATGAGAAAGAACGCAGACCTTGAAAGACAGCTGCGAGATGTGCAAAAATCTATCGATGAGCTGAAAAGTCCCAGGTCGCACCAACAAACTCTTGATTTGGATAGTGCCCCTTTAAACCTGTCCATTACTGCAGAGCCGTATCAAGAAGGATTCAAAATTCCCCACCTGGAGACATATGACAGCTCTGGTGACCCTGATGAACATTTGCATACGTATCAAGCTATCATGAGAATCCAAAATGCCAATGACGCCATGATGTGCAAAGTGTTCCCAGCAACACTCAAGTCAACAGCTAGGAGGTGGTATCACAAACTTCCCAGACATTCCATAGATTCATATTCCCAGCTCGCCAAGTTATTCTCCAACAAATTCGCGAGCCAAAGGGAGATTAAACGCACGGCGACCGAGCTTATGCAAGTTCACCAGAAAGAGGGGGAATCTTTGAGGGACTACATGCAGCGATTTAACAAAGCCACATTAGATATCGATAACGTCCCTGATACTATCTGCTTATCGGCCCTGCTGCACAGTCTGAAACGTGGCAGGTTCCTAGATGACTTACTGGAAAATCCAACAAAGACGTGGAACGAAGTTAATGACAGGTCAGCTAGCTTCATACTGTTGGAAGACTTTCAGTCGTCGAAGCGACGAGCTGATGACAAACAGAGCAGAGGCAATGAACAGGCACCAAAGAGGGAGGAAAAGAAAAAGCAGAAGGGTAATGAGCAATGGGGGAAGCCAGCTGAATTCCCAAAATATGCTAACTATATCCCTCTCACTTTGCCAAGGTCTCAAATCCTAGCACAAATCCAGCACTGGGTTAGAAGACCCCCACCCTCGGTGCATGATTCCCCGCGAGCAGACAAGAGCAAGCATTGCGACTATCATCGTGTATACGGTTACAACACAGAAGACTGCCAACACTTAAAGGACGAGCTGGAGTTCTTGGCTCGCACTGGGAAATTAGAGGGATATGTTCAGAAGCCTCATACCCAGCAACCGACTCAAACTCACTTCGTGCATGAGGTCGACCATGAACACAAAGCATCACTCCTCATCCTCAGGGTCAAACACCACATCAGCAAGACTCTCGACTGAGTTCGTCAACCGAACGTTGAGGGGGGAGTAATGTTGGGATGAGGCCCAATGACCATGTTGGGCCACACGTAGCAGACCCAACTATGCGCCCACGGTCCCAAAAAGAGAAGACATACCCACGTGGGCAACACCACGCGGGCCAATGAGAGGTTTACATGTGCAGATACATGTCAGCACTTGGGGCTATAAATACCCCCCAACCACCTCCGAAGAAGGTAATTAATCTCTACGCTTCTCTCTCTGCAATTACTCCTTGAGAGCATTTCTCTCTAGAATACTGAGTATTGCTGACTTGAGCGTCGGAGTGTTTTTCCCGAGAAAACACCTCGGGATTTTCAGGTGTAGAAGCAGCTGGGGATTTCAACAGTGTTGGACTGCAAAGCTGCCCAAACAGTAGGGTGTGGAGATCTCTATAATTTTTACATAAAGTACTAAATAGAGTAAAATCACTAAAATATTAAAGTGTTTAATATTACATATTATGGTCAAAAGTTTTGGTTACCCACCAAGCCTTAAGAAAAAAAATAAAGTAATAACTCCACCACAAAGGTAAACTCTAACCCCTAGGATGAAGTACTAAATGTCTAGGGAGGAAAAATACCAAATTAAAAACTTTTGTTTAATTATAAACTTAATAAGTATAATATATTATAAAACATTTTACAATTGAGGTATACATATAACTAAAATATAAAATAATTATACTTACTTATATGTACTGATACTGTAACACCTTTTTTTTCATATCTATATGATATTTACATATATGTCATAATAGGCCTACATACGTGTACAAAAAGAATTTCATGCAAAAATCTTTAAAGTTTGCAACTTGTTTCCATTTAATTATAATATGCAAAGTTTAGAGATCTCCATAATTTAAAATCTAAAATATGATTTTTACATGAAGTACTAAATAATAATAAGCATTAAAATACTTATTACACATCAACATCAAAGGTTTTGGTAATACAAAGATTTGCCATTGCCTAAGCATAATCCACTAAGCCTTAAAAGAAATTAAGCGACAGCTCTTCTATGAAGATAAACTCCAAAGATGGAGAATTAAGTATCTAGGAAAAAACATTAAAACTAAAACTTTTAGTAAATTACAAATTCAGTAAGGCATTACAAAATATTTTTACAAACAAGGTATGCACAAAAGCAAACTATAAAATAACTACACTTATGTACATCCAAACATATCATTTCAATCAATCAAGTCGTAACTCCATTGACAACTCAAGTTTATAAGATTATTAAGCATATATAACCTAAACTATTTTTCTTAAATAAACCACAAAACAAAGAATTATATATATAATTATGGTCATGAAATAACCATGGAGAGCTAACCAATACACCCCCATCTCTTATTTCTCTTGGATATGACACATCATCCATTTAGAATGCATCATTTTACCGCAAAGAGGTCATCTAAAAGTAAAATATCTATATTTCAAATAGACCATTTTCCCGAAATGACTTAGTCTCCATGACATAGGCTTAGATTGTAGGATTTTTAATCCTCTAACGTCTCAAAAATATATAAAATATATTTAATATTTTACATATTTTCAAAATAATAAAAATATATAAAAACTAAAAGTAAAGCATTGAAAAATGTTGTTAAACGAAACCATATTATTACAAAACATACCACAACAATATTCACATTTCAATATCAAATTCAACTTCAACATACTATGTCCAATTTTCACAAAGTAGCTAGCTATAATACCATTCCTACACTGCCCTTATGCAGTGAAGCCATAATGCCATGCATTCACAGGTTTTTCTATCCTAAAAATGAGTTAAATTCTTTGGATCACAATCAAACTTCCAGCTTTATAGCATTTCCGTTCTTTATGCTAATTGAAGCTATATTGATTCTTGCTGTTAAGGTTCCGCCAGCAGCATACTCAGCAGCATACCTTCTTTCACATATGATGTCTTTCTCCCATCAGGCAAGGCTACAATGAAACATAGCAAACTAATCAACCTAAATTGATTCAATGGATTTCTAGAGAAAAAATAAAGACAGGACAAACTAATGAACAACTAAATAAACCAAATAAAATCAAAGTAGACCATACAATGATGGTCAGTTATCTATCACAAAATTACTCACGCTGTATCCTGTCAAAGCTTTGTCAGAGGATTATATGTCACAACATTTGGTTCATACTGCCAAGACTTCATTTCATTGAAATGACTAAAAGCAGCTTCCAATCTGCAACAAGTTCTGGAATGCGAGTTCTATTTATAAACAGGGAAAATGATTCGTACAGTTCATATGGATATACATGCTCAAAGTCCAAATGCTAACAATACGTTTACTTTCTTGGTTAACATGTTTAGATTCTTCTCCTTGTTCCATTTTCTATTACTTGTAGTATTTAATTAACGGACATTATCCTAACTTCTTACTCAGGTTGTGAGGTTTATAATACTTCTATAAACAATATACATAGAAAATAACTATTTATGAAGACATGCATCAGCCCATAGAAGAATTAACTCAGAAGAAATGACATTTTTTTTTCCTATGAAAAGGAGATAGCATGAAAGAACATTTACCTGGAAACGATAAATACAAAAGAAGAACTTTCCAACCTTGAGATTGAGCATCTGTTATTACTTTTTGCTTTAACCAAGATATCTCAAACTTCATAGCAGAGATCTTCATTTCTAAAGATGATCTCACAACTAATTCATGTTCTCTGCTATCTTTCGTCATGTTTGCCTGGGCCTGCAATTCCTCAATTGCTGAAAGGTGCAAGGTTAGATGTTAGGAACAAAGAAAGATAAGTAGTTGAATTAGACAAACAGATATCATTCATGTCCTACAACAACCCAACCAAAAAAAAAAAAAGAAAAGAAAAAATTTAAGATCCACTACAGGCATCAACAATAGCTTACTCCAATATCCAGCACCAAATTTTGAAAAAAGTATAAATGGTGATGTACTTTTGATAAACTTAGAAGGTAGTAAATTGATCTCTATCATACTAAACAGAAGGTTCACATGTTAAACATGCCTCAAGTAGGCCCTGCTTTCATTGCACCATCTGATATAGAATTAAAACTCGGCCTGTCAGCTACAAGCTAAAAAATGAAAATGGAAGCAAAACTTTTCTCCCTATACCTTTCTTGGGACTGGCATTCTCAGCACTAAGCTGATCAATTTCCCGCATGGCTTGCTTGGGGACTCTCCTCCCTTTTTCTGCATTTAAGTGTTTCTTCCTCCACTGGAAAATAAATCATTATCATTGATTGATAAATTGAAAGACAATTTCATCAAGACACAAAAAAAAAAAAAAAAAGGGGAATAAATACAAATCAATACTTGAAAACAGAGGTGGAGCGGAGGCAAAAGAAATATTGTTGAGCCAAACACACTGACTCAAATAAAAAGCATATCATGTTGCTGCTATGGTAAGGCCCAAACTGATACAATTATGCTGAAGCAAAACCAGACAGAGATTAGTTTAACAAAATACTTCAATACTAAAGTAGAATTCAGGAAAGATTAGGAAAACCTGCAAATGACCATGTTTAATAAGGATTGGACATGGGTTAAGTAGAATCATTTCCATGTGCCATGCTATGTCATTTTTCTGGCACATGCTGGAGCAACCCACAGACACACGGTAAAGAACCATGGAAAGAACATCAGCATATCAGAGGACAACACTATCCATCTCTAAGTAATTTCCTGCATTAGGGAAACAGGCACTACAATAAGACATTAATAAAAATAAAATTAAGAAACAGAGTTAAAATATAAGGTTATAAAAGTATGTAGCCAAGATAGGAATCATAACCAAGGGAAGGGAAGAGTGAAACAAAATCAGGATAAAATGATTGGAGGAAAAGCGCATGAATGTAACTTTGGTAGGTGCTGAGGGAAAGATAATCAAGGCCCAGTAGCTGAAAGCATCGACACTGCTGTTGCAATACCAGTCCTTGGCGGGAAGGTTAAGGGTGTTTCCATCCAATGCCTCTGTGCCTCATAATCCCCAAAGTTAGGAGTAATAGCACCAGAGTATGGCCTAAATGCATTTTGGTATAAAGCTCTGGAATTGCATCTTCCTTCCCCCCAACACCCTCCCCAGTCCCCACAAAAGATTGAAGATGTTAGTTTCTGAAATTATTGCCAATAAATTCTCCATCTGTATTCCAAGGCCGAGTTTCATAAGACTTTCCAATGATGCTTCTCTTCTCATTCACAGTCCCATCCTCACAGCGGTACTCTGGGAAGTAATCGAGGAAAGTTTTACTTCCCAATTCATTGATTCCACTAAAGAGAAAGCTCCTCAAAATATCCTATGAATCATTTTCAACTGTCAAGTAAAAAACTGGGGAACAAGAATCATCTTCAAAGATTACAGAGCGATACCTTTGCATGCTTCTCACCAATCAACCTTTTCAGGAATGCATGACCTGGATCCTGCTTAAAAGAAGTAGCATCAATAAAAAAGATAGGAAATATAAAGGCATAACAAATTAAAACTTCATCAAAGGCCCCATATCATTGAGAAGAGGTTGACAGTTGACAGACATGAGGCTACGAAACACCAACCTTTTCTGCTCTCCATGTTAAATATCTATGTTGTGCTTCACAGTCTCTTATCAGCTGAGATGGTTCTGTCTCCTTCACTGCTTGGTCCATCAACTCTAGCCATGCCTAAAAGGGTACTGTCAGAGAACATAATCTAGGATAATGGAAGCACAATTCTGGATTGTTCAGAATCAAGTGAAGAAAGAAACTCCAAGATACATGTTACTTTCCAAAGCCAAAAATTCTGTACATAGCTAGAGAATTTCCGTGAAAATCAAGAGAATTCTAAAAGATCAAGGCATAATATGGAAGTTCACACATTTTACCTTGTAATATTCCATAAATGCAGAATATAAAACATCATAATTTGATTGGCTTGAAGTGAACTTGGTCCATATCACTATTGGTGAGAAGAATTTAATAGACTCACTTGTAAGCTTTCCTCCCCATGGTAAAAGCTGCATGAAATCTGTGTTCAGTCACCATGGCATAAATTTTAGGTAGGGTTTGTGAACAAATAGCTATTTTAGAATAAGAATTTGCACCATGTGACAGTTCACGGGATCACATTTACCTCAGAATACTTAACACCTAGGGGTATTAAATGATTGTAGTATTTTTCCCTGTAATCTCTATGAATGATAACATTATGCAATGGGTTCAGGTCCCTGCAATCAATCAAGAGTATGTTTAAGAGCATGTGTGGTCCAGGATTGAAAACAATTGTTCTAGTCCTACATGATTGATTATATGATAGCTTCTATTAAATGAACACCAAAGCATTTAACTAGTTATCTTCCAATGCCCCACCAGAAAAAGGAAAGATAATGAAGGTAACCTACAACACAATTATGTTTGTGTTAGCAGCAGTGAAGAAGTTGGCACAGAATATGGGTATATCATATTCTGGTTCTGGGAACGCAGCGAAATCCAAAACCTGCAAAAACTTATCCAGTAGGTAAGAAGGAAAAATATATATAGGTGCATATACACCCAATTTTCATCAACTTGTTCTATTGCCTCATCCTCCCAATTCTTCCTATGGAAGCAACTTCAGCCAGAATCTTAAGGAAATTCCACGATACAACCCAAGGAATGTATATTACTATGTGTCCACTACTATACCAAGAGAGGTTTATGGTCCACAATCTATACTCATGCCCTGGCAAAATATTGGTCTTTAATAAATGACTTAACAAAATATTATAATTTGTACCTGTATGGTTTCACTCTCAATACTCATACTTCGCAGCAGCCTAATTTTGGGAGCTTCAAAAGATAGCATTCCAAGCCTAGTCTTTCCATCCATTGCAACCATGGAACCATATTTTTCCTAATGAAATAACATTTATTGTCACATAAAGCATGAATTTTACAAAGATTTCAAGCCCATGAAGAGTTACAGCAGTATGATTGTTACAATTCCCAACTTTATTCTCCAATTCATGAATTGTAATTATAATGCACATTACAACACCAGGAAAAAGAATAACACCTTGGTAAGAAAAATTCTTTCCTTTGCATTATTATTGACCATTGTCATAAAGAAAGAAAAACACATGTGAATCAAAACAATCCCAAAATAATCCAAATATCAGCATCATATAAAGGAACCGTGAAGGCCTAAATACTGGTAAGTGGTAACGAACAGAAATGGAGAAAGAGAAGAGGTCACCTGGAGGGGAGAAGGGAGCACAACAGTGTGGTGATTTGTCTCATTGAGGGCAAAATGAATGAACTTCTGGTAGGAGACTGCAGAAACTTGAAGCACACAATTTCTCTTCCTCCAATTACAGTTTTTGATTAATGGGGCAGGTTTTACAGTCGAGCAGAAGCTCAGTAAGGAAACATAAGATTCCATTGAGTCACAACCAAAAATATTCAGCAACTTGACGAGGTAGAATTGAGCCTACAAAAAGGGAAAATCAAGCCTTAACAAGCTGTCAAAAGTGGCTCAAAAACAGCGGGGTATACAAGCTAGAGTAGTGCTGAAATTGAATCACAACAAGGTAGAAATTGAGTCAACAACAAGGTAGAAATGGATGCTTTAAGGCCAAAGAAACAGCTGCTGAACAGGGGAATTTAAGTCCTCAAACGGTGGAAAAACATGCCCAAACAGACAAGATTTTCTGGGCAACAACAGCTGCCAAAACGCTTAAAAATGTGGGCATTCAAAGCAGAAAATATGCACGTTTAAGGGCAGCTTGGAATTCTGGTATGATAGAACAAATAAACTGCAGCTTTCTGGGCGCATTTAAGGGTAGAAACAATAGCCAATGAAAGAACAAAAACATGTTAAAACAGTACAAAACCCAAGCAAGGAGAGTACAGATTCTAACCAACACAATCGCATACATTCCAGTATGAAAACAGAGAAAAAAAATAAAAACAAAAACTTCAAGTTGAAACAGCAGCTAAGCACAGCTAAAATTTCTGGGCTGCTTGGGACTGTTTCATACAAAATTTAAGCAAGAAAAACATGTGATTCAAGACAGGTTACAGTAGGAAGAGCTGAGATTAACAGGGCAGGATTTCAGCAGCAAAATCAAGTGATACCGAGGTGTTTTTGTGTAGCAACCAGCAGCTAAAAGTCTAGTAAAACCATGATGACATGTGGCAGTAGATAATGTGGTAATAGAGCAGAAAACAGAGCAAATTTCTGGGCACTTTTGAGGGCTGATACAGCGGTCATAAGTGATTAAAAACTTGTGCAAACTGAGCAGAAAACAGCACTTAACTAAATTCTGGGCTGTTTGTGTTGGCTTTAATTGCTAGAATAGAATGAATTGATGCTGTTCGTACAGCATAAAACGGAGTAAAAAACAGTGTGGAATTCACCGCAGAAACGCACATTTTCTGGTATGAGAAACAGGGAAAATCCATGGCCGGCAGCAGGGAGTAACAGGGCAGAAACCGAGATTTAATAGGGTATATCAGTCAAGAAATCTCAATACAAAACTGCAGAAAGACTATTATAAACATAGGGGGAATCAAACCTTAATCGGCAGCTATATCAATTTCGATTAGAGCTTAAATTAGGGTACAAAAACAGATTTGAAGGGGTACAGAACTCACCCAAAATTGCAGGTCTCCAAATGTCGAGCAGCGAGCAGGGTCAAGCAAGGAAATCAACGCCTTTGCTTTTGCAGGGATCTTGATGACGAGGGGAATGGGAGGCGGGTCAGCAGAGATAAGGGAAGAATGGATATTGTGAAGATGGAGGGCTAGCCTAGAGTTAGTTTGACAATCGGATAAAAATAGATTATTCTAAATTGGAATTTAACTTTTATTTCAACTTCTAATCTATTCCCAGTAAATTAAGCTTACATTACACTTAATAAGGGACAGAGAATGGTAAAGGCAAGGAGCCATACGCCCCTGCCCCTTTTGAAAAAAATTAGTACTTTTTAATATTTTGCGAAAATTTTAGTAAATAAATTAATACATATTTATATTTAATAAAATAGTAAATATTCGATTTAAAATTTTTAGTACATACAATAAAAAGTTCCCCTTAATATTTATTTGAAATAAAAGAAAATAGATCTACAAAATACTTTTGTTATGTGGTTACTTATAAAAAAGTAGTAAAAAATATCTATTTTTAAAAAGAAACTCATAAAAATAGTTTTCGAAATCCCTAACTAGCCCTAAAATTCCTAAAGCCAAACTCTACTGCTCCCCTTAGTCATTCCTCTCTGTCTACTAAAGATGATATATTTTGTATTAATTAAAAAACTCTATTAAATCTCCTTTTGTCTTTCTATAACTTTTTATTATACATTATTAATTTTTCAATTAATTAAACAATTTTAATTTCTTATAACAAAAAAGGTAATTTGATTTCTTACTTTCTAGAAATATTAATTATATACAATTTATAAGTTGACTATAACACTCACTTTATAGATGAAATAATTGAATTCTATAATGTCATCTTTCATGTTAATAGACAATTTACTTCATTGTTATTAAATTATAAATAAAAATTATAATTTTTTCATAATATTATAACTTAAATTATTTAATTATTAGTCCATCTATAACTCTAACATGAGAAAATAAAATAATTTAATTTTATAATGTCCTATTTTGTGTTGAGTCATCTTTTATTTTATGTGTGTTATATTTTGCCCCTACTTAAATTTTTGTCAAGCTTCGTCCCTGTACTCAATAGAATGCTCACGTCACGTCACATACAAGGGGGAAGGTGATAAGAGAAAATACACAAGAATATGAGAAAGGTGATACACAAGCCCTACTTAATATTACAACCCATAAAATTCAAAAATTCATGAACTTGGATTATGACCAGGCACCATGCAAACTACGTTTGGGAAAATTCCTCTTTAGTGTGTATGTCAAGATTTCCTTCTCAATTTAGTGGAGAATCTGAAATCTAGTTTAAACAAGTGACATTTGTTAGTAAAATCTCTCTTTAGTGTATCAAAATTGTATTTGTATACAATAGTCATTTTGTCAAATGACCTTTTTGTCATTTTAGACCTTTCAAAATTTCTTTCTCATCCATTTTTTCTCGCATGGCCAAGTCCATTTCTTTCCTTTGATTTTGAGCATCGCCAGTGTCCCTAGCGATGGCAACAAGTGCTCATGGTGTTATGCTCCAAACCTTAGAGTGGAACAGACATCGTACACTTGTGAGTAGGATTCACAAGTGCATCAGGCTTAATTTACTATCCAAAAATTGAATACAGTTAAATAAGGTCTACTAATACCTATATTTTAATTGAAATTTAAGCAATGTTCAAATAAATCCTTCAAAGTCAAATAATGTAATAATTGTTAATTAAATCCTCAACTTCCTAATAATTCCAAAAGAACTAAATCAAGTCTCCACTAAGTCCAAACTGACTCTAATAAGCATTTGTCATGCGCCCTGATCTCCAACGTCTCTAGTATCGTTACTTGAAATGGTGGACAAGGAAAAACATGAGATATACTCTCAATAAGTGAATATTAGGCTTCCCTTTTTTATTTATAAATTTAAAATTAAGCAAGCCAACAAGTATAAATTAAGTATTAAGAAAATGGGTACAAGTATGGGAAATAAATAGACGTCTTCTCTATAAGTCATGGCCAACGTTTATTAACCTCCCACTTGTGGGCACAAGATTTGCTAGTGTATAATTCCACAGGCAAGATAATAAGAATGAATCGGTTCCACAAGTAACATGTCGACATGTGTTAGCATTTTTAAACCTCTCACTAGCGGGCACAAGTAAAACATGATTATACTAAACTCTAAAATAGGCTAACAAGTACATTTTAAGTAAACATACTTATTTTAAGAAAACATGTATCACAAGGGTCAAGCAGCATGTATAAAGAAATTTATATAATTAGGCTTGCTTAAATAATTAAAATTCAACTTTGAATAAAATGAGATTCACTCATGATGACTAAACCAAAACAGGTTCTTAATCCTGCCACCATCTCAAAATCGATAAAAATCATGTTTTAAAATTATATTTAAAATCAAGGGTAGAATCATAAATTTACTTACCTTAAAAATCAAGATCTTAAACTTGAAATGTACAAACAATCAAGAACCTAAAATTTACATTGAATATTAATCAGCAACAATCTAGAATTATTAGTCCTAATTTAATAATATCTAATTTTAATAATATCTAATTTTATAAAATTTATATTAAATTTCCTACGCAGGTGTCTACACCTACTTTCTGACTAAAATTGAGGGTATTGACACCATTGTGTCAACCTTTAAACCTATCATACAGTGGCCATGTACTACACCACATAGCACACACAGTAATATTGCAGCATCATTGGTCCCATCAATTACTATTCATATTATTTTAATAAATCAGTAGGTGTCAACACCTATTTTGTTACAAGATTAGAGTGTTGACACTACTACAAATCTCAAACCAACAAGGCAATGGCATCATCGCCACTCATCCTCACATAACAACACTCACATGCAATCGTGTGGGTGCTACTATACAACAATTCTTTCCCCTTTTAATTTTACTAATAAATCAATAAATATATATGTATTTACACTATCTACTACTAATTTAATAATACTTGAGGTAAAACATAAAAAGTCACTAAGATCTACGATTTTGATGTCAAATTTGAGATGAAACCTCAATAACAAGTGTAAAAAAATGATTTGGGGATTATAATATTAGGTGTAGCAATAAAGATCCAAGAAAATAAGAAAGAACAAGAAATAAGAGGAACAAATATACTCACTTTTAAAATCTTAGAGTTGAATTTTAGGAGAAGAAGACAACTGGATCTGGGAAGAGGTGTTTATTGCATGAAAGCAAATTTATTTTGAGAAGGAAAAATGGTTAAGCGGCAGATTTCATGTTTGAATTTTATTTGGGGAAATAAAAATTCCTAAATTAAAAAGCATTAATCCCAAATTAAATCTTTGAATTAAATCCTTAATTTAATATAAAAATTTAAGATCATAAATCCTCATAATTGACAATTAATCCCAGCCATTAATTAGGTTATACACATTTAATTATATTGATTCCCAAAAATCAAGAAAAGTATGCAAATTATTACACACGGTGGTGAGGACCCTCTTCTCATCTCCATCCATGCTAATGGTGGATATAGAGATCCTCACGAGAATTTTTGGTGAGAGGGCTAAATGACCTTCGTCTCTATATCCACAAGGAATGATAGGTTCTTACAGGTATATGAAATCCTCCTAAATATTAAATAGAATATGTCATTATTTTTCAAAGTTGTATATAATAGTCATTTTGTCAAATGACCCTATTGCCATTTTAGACCTTTCGAAATTTCTTTCTCATCTAGTCTTTCTAACATAGTCAAGTCCATTCTTTTCCTTCGCTTTTGAGCATCACTAGTGTCCCTAGCAATGGTAGCAAGTGCCCATGATGGCAAAAACCCCTTCCCTCCCACACTCCATCCCTGCTAACGGCAAATATGGGGATCCTCACTAGAATTTTTGGTGGGAGGCTTAAATGCCCTCTATCCCTATATCCACAAGGAATGATAGGTCCTTACAGTTATATGGAGTCTCCCTTAATATTAAATATATAGAATTTAACATTATTTTTTTCCCAATAAATAAAAAAAATAGAAATTTAAAATAACTCAAACATGTAAATACATTACACATACATTCTAGCAATATGTAGCTCCATCAAATACATATTGCCATACACATCCAACAATAAGTCCATAAAAAATAGCATAAAAGAGGGAAATTTTGAAACAAACAAACGCATAAAATAGTCTAGCAAATACATATAGTTTAGCAAATTCATAGAAAAAAAAAAAAGCATAAAAAGGGTAGGAACATGAAACAAGCAAATGCATAAACATCCATCCAGCAAGGCAAAGGCAACTTTGCAGCAACAACTTCAACTTGAGGAAGAAACTTCTTAAAACAAGAACTTCAAGTTAACATGATCTTAGAAAAAACCTTTATATAATAATTAGTATAAAAAAATATTATTGTCTAAAATTTACCCTAAATTCATCACCCTCATCATTCTCCTCCAACTCCTCAAATAGATCAAAGAACTTCATATCATTGTTAGAACTTGAATTTCAAATGTAATAAATGTTTAGAACACCAATTTAATAATAAAAAATAAAAGAAATATAAACTTAACTTTAATCTTTTACATCAGTCCTTCACTAATCTTGAAGACACATCCATACCTATATCATATCTAGTTTAAGCTGGCTTTAATATGGACTAATAGCTTTTCTAATAGCATTAAAAGTTGATTTTGAAGGTACAATAGACATCGAAATGACAAATGCATCTTTAGTAAGCATTTGCAACATAAGAAACCTAGCCTCACGAACCTTCCACCTATTCAAAATATCAAAAGTTTCTTCTACCTCAAATGGAACCACCCTTTCCTCCAAATAAGCATGCACCACCTTTTGAGTAGAATATCTAGGGTTTTCCAACAAAATTTTATTACCAATTGTAGAGTAAAATGAGGCAGCCACTAGTGAAGCATGGCTAGATATTCGCACACTTTTCTCATTTTAGCAAGTCTTAAATTGATATCTATCAACTAAATCATAACAAAGCTTTAAGACTTTTTGCATTTCCCCTAGAGTTCTTTCTCTAAAAATTTCAAAAAAAATGAAACTCTACCAACTCCATTTTATATTTAAGATCCAAAATAATTGCTATAGTCATAATGTCATGAACCTAACTCCA